AAGCCAGTGGTTCATGCCTCTAGTGCTATGTGGCGGTGCCCAATTCTGCTGGAACAGGACCCCTGACAAGATGGCCAAAGGCAGACTGTCGAAGTTGCCTGAGGTTGGCTTTACTTCGCATTCACCTGTACACACACGTGCGTGCACACACACATACACATACACACACAAAAACAGTGGTAAATACGCACTCATTCTGGTGTTAAAGTACAGTGGCCTGGATCGCACACGAATCACAACCACTATGATGTCCTTTATCACGACTGGGCGGAGAAAGGCTGTTATGGCGAATAAACTAAACGGTTGGCTTATCGTTTGTCTAAGGTACAACGTGTGGTCCGAGTTGACTGCGTAACTGAGGCAGGGAAACCTAGGACCATTAAAGTGAAAAAGGTCACTTGGACGCACTTCGATATCCGTGGCTCATTGTGATCTACATTCCATTAACTCCGTGAGCAAAGCTTGAGAAAACAAAATGATGTGTTTTTGGTTGATTTACCGATTTTGAAAACCACCGGTATGGGCTGATGAGAGGAAGTGATGGTTGGTGCGGGTGTTTGCAGGTTCATGTATGCTGTGTACGCGAACTACAACGCACGTCATGGTGAGGTAACCTCTGCGCTAGTTGGATGAGGCCACTCATTACAGGGATATAATGCACCGGACAGCGTAAGTGCGTATGACGAACAAAACAATTTGACGCCTAAACGTGAATATGTGAAGTGACCTAACAATGAATAACGCGACTCCATTGCTAAGGTGGACGCAGTCGTTAGGTGAATAAAGAATACTGGAAAAGTGCGTTGTGGTTTACGATTCGCTAATACTGGAGGGCTCCAAGAAAATCTACCACTACTGGGTTGGGTATGACAATTGGAGAAAGACACACTGTCCCCCTTGGAACCACGGTAGGGATGCATGGTATCAAGCCAGTATAAAAGTGACTGGAATTTGTGCTTCCAGGTCGTGTCATGTGCAAACATGGTGGTTGTGATGAACACTTAGTGAATTCCGTGACTGAAGGTTAGTAGACACAAGAACAGTGGTAGTCTGTGCGGAATTTATCAGTTTCCAAAATTACTGCTTCGGAGTGCCATGAGAAAATAATAGCTCCGGTGGGAGAGATTGAGATATCAGTGAAGTCCATTCCTACTGACCGATTACAGGTCGGTACACGGGTGTATGCAGTGACAGATACAAGGCAATTCCGCCGTTATGGCGAATAAACAAGTGCACCTTGTGTTGACCGTTTGTGTAACCTCAAGTTTGTGACAATGTGCTGATGAGACAGCCGCCGGTCTCTTTCCCCATTTAGCAGCTTCTAATTGGTCGAGACCCCCTTCCTGAAATATTTCACTGTTATTACGAAATAAAAGATAGTAAATGAAATAAGATAAAACGACAAAAGTAATACCGTACATGATCAAAACTGATAACAAACGGTGGGCTAATTTTCTCACATCTGATCTGCAGCCAAGCTTTCCAGTCATTTCATTGTTAAAGCAGCTTTGTCTCTGTCCAATCTCAGTGCATAAACAAGAATACAAAGGTCTACCACGTTCATATTGAGATGAATGAGTGTGGGTAGTAGTTTGTTCGACAACGTCTTTCAACTCCTCATCAGTGCCCTTATTACCAAACGTATTCCATGTGTTTCTATATCCCGAATTGTCATCGATATGATACTCAAAAATGTAGGGGACTACGCGGTTCACTAGAATGGTGTGTTTTTAGCACCAACAGATTACCGCTTTTCAATTTCCTCAAGCAATATCAAACTGCGCTTTTACTGCAAGACTCGTTACTCAAAGCAAATTGCTCTGCTGTTATTAAACTGAATAATTTCAGGCGGGAGATGCCATTGGATAGTGATATAACTTCAATGAACCTTTGCAAAATGAAAAATTCTTTTACTAGGAGGCCAGCAAAAAATGGTGGAGGAACGGTTAAGTCGAAATACTGCCAACTTGTCCAAGTTGCTCCAAAGTCTCGTGATAAGCTCGACCAAAACGATCGGAGAACTGCTCAGTCATGAGGTCAGACGAACTATTTCCAAAGTTGCACTATACACGCAAATGGTCATGCACATAATACTGCCAGTTACTGTGTATTCCGCAAGAACAAACCAAAGTGATTTTCATCCACTCCATTCTGACAGCTCGATAAAGTCTTTTGCATGAAATTATTGAAATCATGAGGTCAAATACTATAGAGATTTAACCCATAGTCGGATTGGCAGTTGGTTTGGCAAATCAATAGTACATCACTTCTCTAAGATCATATTAAGCTTGACAGGATAAACGCCATGGAGTGGTCTGTCCATAAAATGGAAGAAAGATTTGCAGGAAACGCAATTGAGCTCAGTTGGGGATTGATAATGAATGCGACTACATCAGAGAAACCAACGTAATAAGCCAAAGAAGGGCATGTGACTCAAAAGGTTGCATCCGACGACTAGATAAAGACTGCTTTCAAGTGGACTTGACACCTGAAATGTGAGTGAGCGCTGTTTCATCACGTGATTGAATATGATGATTTCCAAACAAGTGGTTCTCAATAAATGACCTCACCGCCAGGCTTGTTTTCTGGATAATAAGATTAGAAGATTTAATTTGAATGTCACTGTCACTCAGCACCGTGTCTGAAAGGCATATTGAAGCCCTTGGAAGGTTACCACGAATTTCCGTTTCATTCTTTTCAGAAATCATTAGATGAGGTACTTATCCTTCGAGACCCTACCGGGATTCGAAGGCCGGGTAAGCTACTATTATTCGAACACCTAACCATCAGGCTTAGCATAAAACGGTTGTATTGGCATAGTTTTCAGTGATGAACTTGGCGTTATTAATACAAATAAAATAATCTCAAAAATAATTTCAATACTCAACTAATCGAATTATGTGAACAGTAAAAATAGTCACCAATAACAGAAATCGAAAACGCATGTACAACTGAAGAATATCTATGAAACTCCTCCGAAAATGCATCCGTAAGACTTACCGTACCGAATACCATAATGTGAAATAAATGGAAAAAAATTTGTTCACAGTCATCTCGAAACGTCCTTGCGCTTTCACTAAATCAACAGATTCTCACTGACTTATGCTAGCAACTGAGTAGGTTTCAAAAGATCAGAAACTTCCTTTCTTTTGACGATGTTCCCAAATTTCAGTGTATAAGCGTTCACGGATTCCTGGTGACTCTCCGTTGAATTGTCTCTGGCAAAACATTCCGAGTTCTTTTGTCTCAGACTGAAGGCATCCCTTATGACCAGTGATCATAGTATCTCACACTTTCGTGTGATGGCATTCTTCTATCTGGGAAGAGAGATCTCACCGTACCTAAACGTTTTACGCAAGAATAAGGAATTAGACTACAAAACGCCAACCACACACGAGGTCCGTAGATTATCCAGCTTGAACAAAAAGGAAAACAACTGTCTAAAATAAAGATCTTTTCTCATCTGTTTCTGAAATCCCGAAACTTCAAATGCGGATGACAGGGAATCACCCCACATCATGATCAGAACTGAATTCACCGCCCTGGCAACATGGATGTTGACCACTTGAACTACCAATTTATTCGTTTTCAACATTCTCACTATCGAGGACTTAAAAAACCACCAGCAGATAAGATTCCAATTTCCTCAAGTTCACCACGTTAACCCATTTTTCTCAAACAAACACATTACCGGATGCATGAGGCTGGTATAAACCTATCGCTTAAAATATTTCACATTCCCGAGTAAATTTTCTGGAATCTGACAGGTGATGCAGTATCGTGCGTGGTCCAATTCATTGACAACTCCCTCAAGAGTTCGTTTAAAACAGTTAGGTACGTCTTTCTCAATTACATATCGGCGTGTAATGGTGTGCCACGGTTCTTGCCTTTCATTCACTAACATAGCTGGCTGAAAAATTGCTTCCTGGGAAAGACGAAATACATCAAATTTGAAGGCAAAGAATGCCGAGATTCCCCAAATAGTGCCGGTCTTCTCCAAGGAGTTGGTCGTTATCCATACTAATTCGCTGCTTACATTGGCGACTTGACTGTAATCCTCTCAGCTCGTCTAACCAAGTATGCAGATGACGTTGTTTTGCTCGGTGTGTCTCCTAACAGTCCGAGTAACATAGTTTGACAGAAAATCTGGCACATGTCCTAAAACACTTATGTGCCGTCTGGTCTTATGTTACACAACGCAGAATGTAGAGTGAATCCAATGTGCTTCAGGGTTGCGTAGTAAGAAGGACAAAATTAACGTTAACCCTATTCCCGTTGGACGTGTTATTCATGAGAAATATCGTAGCCCAATTTTGAAATGCAGTTCAGTGCTTCGCTATATGTCGTTTTTTTCCTCTGACGTCAATGTGTATTTTCCATTATTCGTTAGCGTTCTCTCGTAAAGTGTTCCGGTCTAGTGAGGAAGAAGTACATCCTTCTCTGTAGTGGCCTGCTCACGATCCGTCTTGTTCTTCTAATAGCCTTGATGTATCTTATATCCGACTTGTGTGACAAGCACATCATAGTATTCATTATATGTATCGAATAGATGACTACTTTTCTGTTCGCACCCACTGCATGGCGACCTTTATCCTAGTTAATTCCATCCACTGATCTGTTCCATGTATCAACTAATTCATTCAAAATTGTCACTGTACAGATACTTTGGAGTGCAGAATTTTGTTCGTGTTTCAGCAAGCAAGTATGCTAAAGCGCAACTTGAAAACGTGCTCAAGGCAGGCTAATATTACAAATAATAGTAATCAGTTTTATTTTCACTAAAAGGTTTAGTATCTACCATTATTTCGTGCACTTAATCAGAAAAGACTGAAGTCACCAGCAGAGGTGTTTCATATACGATTTCTTCGAGATCCTGCTCAAGTTAAGAAAGTCCGTGCAAAACGTATTTCGCGTTTTCACGGCGGGAATGCCAATTCTCAGACCCCGTTTCTGTGTCTTCCAGGTTGAAATTTTTTTCGTCTGTGTGTCATACCCACAGGTTAATTGATCATTCTGGAATCCTCGACATGGGACGTGTTTTTCAGAGGAACTTCAAAAATGGCCAGTCCACGAGCCACATTTGCGAGGTGAGATATATTCACGGAACGGCTGACATAAGCGACGCGCACAACCTCACTCAGGGGCTCTGAAAAACGATCTACAAATCGGTTCGCTTGCAGGTCATCCCGTGACTCTTCATCCTGTTTAGGCTGAGCACGGTCCAAGTCTGAACGGAGCGCGAAGGCATGCACCAGCGGGTCTGCATCAGCCTTAGCTGAGCAGCCATGAACCACCATATCGAGAGCTGACGGTCAGCCGGGGTGCCGAACTCCGCGATCAAGGAGTCCTTTGTGGTGGTCAACTTCACCTCCTTCTGGCCCCGTTTAGCGGCATTTAGTACGCTCCGTGATCTGACCTTGAGAGGCGCCCGAAGGGCTGCAAACTCAGGCCGGCTAGACTGGATCCCCAAGAGCTCTACCAGGTCCTCGAATTCCTTCAGGAAATTCCGCACGTCCCTTCTTCGAATGGCTCCGGCTAAGGCAGATCCCAAATGGTCACAGCACCAATTGTTATAACTCTGCTCCTAGTAAGCATGTCGTTTCTGTATTACTACCGGTTCGGATATCATCAAAACCAATCAAATGAAACAGCAATGCTACTATAAGTTTAACAATAATCTGGTGTTATATCTGCCTCAATTTCACAGGGGCCTGTAATTTCTCTGCCTAGTTCGGCAGTGTGACAACAGCCCGGATATATCCATTCATTTTGCATTGTCTAACAGTTCAAAATATCTCCCTAATCAGTCACAATCAATACTTATATTCAAGCCCAAACATCCGACAATGTGAAAGGCTGTATCCTGTTATTTGAAACCATGTTTTTAAGTCGTGAGTTACATTCGAGTTTCACATATGCCGGATGTTAGGCATGTGTAAAATTAGGAAAACGTAAAAAGGTCTGTGGAGGACGAAAGTGCCATTTTGTTGCACGTCCGAATAACGTTAAAAGTATCTATATCACTGGAAGAACGTAATAATGCTTCAATCCAAAACGAGAGAAAGAACACACTATAGCGGATTCGAATTCAAACTCTACTCAACTGACTGTATGTGGCCCATGAATCTATCATACGGTTAAACGACGAACTTCAAAATTCAGTGGTATTCATATCTGTCATAGACAGACACAGGTTCTCAGGTGTCCCGAGGTGTCCGTTCAATAATTTATCTGTATTTTCTAAGTATTGACCATCAATTCATTCAGAAACTATCGAAACTTTCTTCTGAGATGTATTTTCTTTTGTCTCAGATATGCTGTATGGACTGAACTGAGTATTTCTGGAAAGGCCTCGTCTAAATTCCACTCGTGGCTCCCGTTAACATAGTGGATCTCGCAGAGTTGTATGTTAAATTCATTTTATCTAGATAGAGCTTTCATATCTTGTGTTCAAATGATATTCGCTGTTCCCAATTTCCTTTACTTTCATTCAGCAAAACTAATGAAATTCTAAACAACAATAACGTGTAGAAATGCAAACGATCCTGAGGACGTTTTGAAGTTTTGGGGGTGGTCAGGGCGTGTTCTGTAAAATCGACATTACCAAGGTTTACTTTTAGATTCTACAGAAAAAGAGCGGCAAAGGAGTTCCGAACGTATCTTTCATTGGGTCTACGAACAAATTACAAACGGAATACCCTAGGTTGAACGAACAGCGAAGATCGGAGCCAGTAGACAGATGCGAGAGTGTCTTATATATGGTAGCACCAATATGGCATCCATACGTAAGAGGTAGCCTAACGAACACGAATCGTGGGCGTATATGAAGGCAAAGACTGTAAATGTGTCCAAAGCGAATTCGCTGTGAACTTCGTGAACGTAAGTTTATTAAAACCCAAGACACGGAAGCAAACATAGGATAGAAAAATCAAGCATAAAATACGGGACCAAATTTCGACGACATAACTTGATGAATATGTACTGTCGGGATTGTACTTCAGTTCGGAGAGGCCGGTTGATATATATATATATATATATATATATATATATATATATATATATGCATATATCTATATATAAAGTAACCTTTGCTGACTCCGATGGGATTTGAACTCACCCACGGTTGCCACCAATGCGTTAGTACCGCGTTTGCTCCACCAGCTGAAGTAAGGTGAAACGCTAAACTGATTGGGATTCTTCACATATTGATCATACAGTTTACCTGCCCAAATTACAGTAGCAATTTGGATCCTCCACATAAAACTAAAGTATAATGTGACTGGTCCACCCGAAATTTCGCTATGAAACAACAGTTGTTCACCAGCTGAATGCTTGTTTGGATATGAATTGGAACTTGGTTGATTTAAAATGACCCAAATGTAAGATTTCATGAGAAATTCAGGTGATAACAGTGTGCACGAGATCAAACCTAGTTCATCCCATCCTGTGCGTTTGTGAAACAGTTACATTCCAGAATGCGTACGGGATTGTTTGCCCTGAACTGATTCGCTAAAGCTTCAAGTACTACACAAGACCGTCATAATGACACCCAGGTAACATGACATGCTTTCCTGAAAACATGAAATGTCGAGTGAACCAGTCCTAACTGAATACCCACTATGAAGCTCGGGTATTTCACAGTCCAAATGATCGCGTATGAAAACTGGTGACTGGTGATACATCGCGAAGGAAAACACACGGATTCGTGGTCAAAAAAAGAGACTGCATGCGTGAATGGTCACCAAGTACAAGAAGTGGCACAGATCGCTCACTTTTGGCACGGAACTAGGAAGTCAGACAGAACTACGTCCTTAAACTTTACCAGTGGTTCCACTCAATGGTAATATTGTTCGAATCTAACCAGCATGACATTGCGAAGCATTTATTCTGAGTAACACCATAGTGATTGATTCCGTTTTGAAGACCAATCAATAACTTTCGTGGGAAGGCGCTGTACTTGTATTTAATAATTTCTCCACATTTCACACCCTCTGTTTCTCCTTAGTTAATTGGATGGTCAGTTGCATTCGTCCTTGTTCTTTTTTCATTCATTGGTCGTGTAGCCTGTACTCATGCGCACATCAAACTACCGTGCCTAGCTAGACTCTGTTCTCCAACCAATATGGCCATTTTAAATTCCAATGATGTTTTCGTGAAGTCAGGAGAGTTCCATGTAACTTCAAGTGAAGCTGCCAATCAAACCGCTCCTAAAACAAATATGAAACTAGCCTGAAAGCAGCTACTCGTAGTCTACTCATGTAATCTGTCACTTGCTTTATGACTCATCAGGAAAGAGGTGATGTTTCGGTGATAAGTTCTTATGTATGTGAGAACCTGTGTGGTTAAGAGCGGTCATGTTTATTATTTATTGCGACCACGGCTTGACTGCAACCGGTACGAAGAGCACAAAAGTTGAAATAGGGTATGCCTTATATATGGCTCTCGGAAAGTCACCTTTCACAGGCGGTAAACAGGTCAGGTAAAGTGCATGAGGCTACGTGTTCCGCTGCCACAGTTCAGTTCACCTAGGGCCCAAAGATCTGATGGTCACAATTACCAAAAACGCTCAGGTCTTGATTGATAATTGTGTAATCGATTCAGTACGTCTGTGCGCGCGCATGCCTGCATGAGCTTTGATCAGTAGCGCAATGTAGCGAGGTTTATTATCGATCATGATAAGGGTTGTTGATTGCAAACACATCCGTGTGACAACGAAAGTCCGCCATTGTCGATCTTAGCCTTGCTGAGTAGGATTTAGAAAATTCATTTGGTTTGCCTTTTTCCATCAAAAATAAGCGGAATGCCACATTTACCGCGTGTTCGAAATCCAATCAGCGAAACTTTCAGATGCAAGAACCAAGAGGATTATGGAAAACCTAGTGGAGCATCCGATTGCACACGTATTCCGTTGATTCATCATCATTGTCATCCACACAATTTCGGGACCAGGAAATTACATCGAATATGACTCACAATAAAAAAATAGGAAAAATGAATCAGGATCATCACGACACCAGCTGTTTCTGGACTTACATGTGTAGGAAACTGATCACATCACAGACCGCCCAAATGGATGCATGCGTTCGGAAACATGAAGTTGGTCAAAGGAGATTAAGCACTTGCAGATATAATTTCTAAGACCACAGGAGGTTGTGGGGATAAAGATAGCGACTTCGGCCTTTGCTTGGATGAGAAAATTGACTAGTCCTCGTAGGGTGCACTGGAATTTGATCAAATTTCGAAAAGCATTTGCATTGCCGTTCGACTCAGAAATGTGTAAAAAGAGAAGGTTCGTAATTATGCCCACTTTTCCCATTTCAACTCAGGGCAAGTAGTATTTACGAACGTGAACACGTGGACACCAGTCGTGTAACCTTTACATCTACTTCCACCGAGACAGGTAAATGAATGCACACTAAAGGGGCCAGCTTAGTGTGTCACCCAGTTGTTCAGACAAAAGTTCACCGTCCATCTGAACGTGAATAAATTTAGGATTCGTCAATTGCAAAATGTTCTCGTCACTGCTTTTGGTATTATGTTCAGTGACTTGTGCTTCCCTTTTTTAACTGTCAAATACGGGCGGGCAAATGCAGACTCTTAAACGGGTCCAACTATATTTGTCTCCTATATGTTCATTTGGATTCTGCTGTAAAAACAGCTGCAAAAATTAGTCATAATGTGTTACGATACTGAGTGGAAACGGAGTTCCTTTACTTTTTAGTCCTTCCTGCGAATGGATTTTGCTATGTTTACCAAGCAATCTATTGGATTTATCGCCACTTTATTGGACGTTTGAGATAAGTCATACATAAAGTCGTGCTTCCCAAGCCTAATAGTCTGGTTGCACTTCGAAAGTATTGCGCCCGTCAGAGACTTGCGTTCCATTTATTGATGAGTGCTTCTCTGGTGCAGAATATTCAAAAACAATATCGGATTTTAGTGATGGGAAATCGGACTACCGTCATTAGTGTGTATCGCCAAAAGCTTAAAGCCTGACATACCCCATCAGATTGCGCCTCAAAAATGGAGAACAACTCTGTAATATAGTACTAAGTGCATTTCACAAACTGACCTGAGAACAGGGAGCTTTCACAACCTATGTCCAATATTCATTCGGCAAACTTGTCGAACGAATGCGTACTTCATTAGGAAAGCTCATCAACTTAAGCTACCCTGCAGAGGAGGTCCCTCCTCACCCAACTAAATTCATCCGTGACTAACATCTGAAATTCCTGGTAGCGTTATCCCTAGGACATACTTCTTTTGCCCAAACAATAGGATCGAACAAGGTCGAGAC